AAGAGTCTGTGGTACAGTTCGAGTGGGGCTTTTTTTTCCTCCCCCCCCCCTCCGTTTTCTTAGTTTAAAATAAATATTTCCTGTAGTGAAATAAAAAATAATAATAATCCTCATTTTGTTCCTCCACGCCCTGCATCAGCTGGAAAAACACCTGAGTATCGAGTTTGTAAGGCCTCTGCTGTGTACCGCTGCTGCCGACCGGGCGAGGGGGAGTCCGTCCGTCCTCGGCTGCTGGGATCCCTCCCGGGATGCCCATCAACCTTTCAGTGCCCGCGGGACGGAAGCAATCTCTCCTTCCAAGGTCTCGCAGCATCGCTCCCCTCTCCTGCCCCTCCAGTCACGTCAGGGTCGCCCCGTCTCCGTCAAGGTCATCCCCAAATGTGCATCTCCCCCGTTCTCGTTCGGGACAGCTGGGGTCTGTGTTGTCAAGTGGTTTGGTTTTCTTTAACAGTCTTTAAATCTTTCTCGCAGCCTTTTTCAGCTACGATCGGGACTGAAACTCTCAGCCCGAACGGCATCGCTCCCGCCGCCTTGGTCCAGCACAGTGAACAGGTGAAGCCGTGAGTTTAAATAAAAAGACAAATATAAATTACTATATTTTTTTAAAAAAAACCCCACATAACCTGAAGGCAGCAGCTCCTTATAAAGGTAAATTCGTAACATTTTTAAAATGTCTTCATTTAAAACAACAACAAAATCAGTCCTGTAACTGCGGAAGTTGCGATTCCCTTGACCCTTACTGTTGTGTTAAGTCTCTGTATAACGATTTAAAACCAGGAGGAAGGGATGTTTCTTGGGAACAAGGTGTATAAAGCAGGAGAGACGAGTTAGAGGAGAGGGGAGGGGACGTGGTAAATCATCCCTGCAGTAGCCAGCCTTTCTCCGAGGCTGGGGACGGTGGCGTGGCCATGTCCACGCTCCTTTTGTGGGTACAAACGCTGCTCCAGCCCCCCAGCTCCGCTGGGACTCCAGCCATTCCCTCCCAGTTCACCGGCGGCAGCCTGGGCGGTCGTGGATGGAGGTGGGAGTGGGACAGCAAGGGGCCAGGGTACCACGCCAACCATCCCTGCTCATGGCCCCTGGAGCACCTCTGGGTCGCACGTCCCTGCCGCTGTTCTCCACCCCGAGCATCGTCCTCGGAGGGTCCCTGCGGTGCCGGTGGCCTCCAGGCACCGGCATCCCGGGAGGAGCTGTCCCCACCCTCGGGTGCAAGGCTCCCCGCCGGTGGGAGCCGAGCGTCTCCCTACAGGTCTGCTGGTGATCGCCTGCTTCCCCTCGGCATCCGCATCGCTGCCGGGAGGGGACCCTGCTCTGGGGACGAGGGGGACCGTCCCCTTCCCGTCCTCGCGGGCGGGCGGCTCGGCTGTTGCCCTTGACACGGTCCTTAGCGCCTCCTTTTCCTTCGTGCTACCCGTGGCTATCGCTTTGCCATCAGCTTTCAGTGCCTGCACATCAGGGCTACCTGGGAGAGGAAAGAGTGGTTAGGGACGGCAGGGTCTTCACCTCCCCATCCCAAACAATCCCCCCTCAGCCACAAATCCCCCCTCCAGCCCAGCCCAGGCAGCGGAGCCACTCGCGTGCTCCTCCCCAGCTCCCTCCCCGTCCCCGTGGCAAATACACACAAATACACACACCCCTTCACGTAACTACGTACAAATCCTATAAATACATATAAACGCACACACAAGAAGAGTCACCTATTTGGGGGGATGCTGGCCAGCCTGCGAGCTTGAACCTGTTAAGAAATAAAGTTGTTGGCAATGGCCTCGAGCAGCGGCAAAAGGGCATCCAGACAGGGAGGGGTGGTGGGACCATCACCGGTGGGATGGGACAGCCGTGGGTGGCAGGTCCGGCATGCGGCGCGCACGCTGCCCTGCTCCCAGCGTGTTCCTGAGCCACCCGGTCCCGCTGCCCTTGGAGGGGGAGAGGTGGCCTGGAGGTGACCGACACCTCCTCGATATCCCCGGGATGACTTTTCTCCCCCAGGCAGGCAGGGACAACCCCCCCCGGCTCCACCACCACCCCCCCAGCTCAAGCTTTCTCTCTCCACAACCCACGGAGAAAAGCTAAATATTCTGCTCCGCAGAACCCTTGGTAGGACAAGGATGCTGAGGGACCACGCAAGCAATGGATGCTCCCACCAAACGGCAGCATCTGGGAGGCAGATGCGGCTGGAGCTTCCCTGGAAGGGTCCCAGGGACCCACTGGTGTCACCAGCCCTCCACGGGAGATGCCGGGGCTACCTACCGAGCTGCTGCCTGATGGAGTCGTGCCAGTGGAGGTTCAGCAGGTCCGGGTAGATGTCAGGGAGCTGCTTGAGCGCCAGGAGTTTCAGCATGCGTGACGTGCAGCTCTTCAGCTCCAGGTCCCTCAGGTGCCTCTCCTCCGAGAGCGTGGTGGGGCGCAGCTCCACCTTGTGCTCCTGGAGCACTTGGTCAACGGAGGCCCCGGCGAGCTTGGGGAAGAGCTTCTCCTTCACCACGTGGATGGGGATGAAGACGGCCCCTGCCCGGACTACGTGGGGGAAAGGACACTTGCGAGCGAACATGAAGGTCTCCAGCTGAGAGAGCAGGTTGGTGAGAAGAGCGGCCACATCCTGGAAAGCCAGCCAGATCTCCTTGCCTTTGGTGGGCTTCTGAGGTTCGGGGATCTTGGAGCCGTTCTTGGGCTTGGGGGGGGATTTGGGCATCTCTCCGAGCTCCTCCGCCGGCTCTGCCTTCTTCAACCACTCCCGCAGGAGCTCCGGGGAGGACCTGGACACCGAGCATGAAATAATGTCGCAGAGCGAGGTGTGCAGGGTGGCGAAATACTGACCGGCGGAGGTCTGTGGGGCAGGGGCCTCACACTGCCTGGGCAGCGAGATGCTCTCCTCTCCCGACGCGCGGGGGGCTTCGTG